GGGAAAAGGGGTTTGCAGCTGGCCAGGAGTAGGGATGGTTGCAGCCTCTCCCTACTGGCCGGAGTGTCCAGCCAGCTGCAAACCCTCTCACTCCCTCCCGGCAAGCTAGAAACCCCACCTTGCTGCCAGCCGGGTGCAAGCCAACTGCCTGCCCCCATGGGATGCTCCACCGCCCCACCAGTCAGAGTTTACCAGCCGCACCTGTAACTACCACCACTTTCAAGCATTTGCAGAGGGGATATATCTTTATGTTCTTAAACATTCCTCTATTATTCCCTATATCCTGTTATTTTTTCTTTGAACTTACTTACATTACTTGGACTACAGACAAATCATCTCTTACTCAGTGAAAAGAAAGGCTATTTCTCCTTAGCCCCAACATGAATTCTAACTGTAATTTTACATTTTAAATTAGCTGCTTAAATGTCAATAGTTTTATAAATCTACCAGGTACCATGAAATACTGCTAGATAATATCTTTCAGCATGCATGCTTATTAAATGACAAGTGCAATGTCAGTTAAATTATGTGTCTTAATAAGAATCAGAATCATGTTGACCCAAGTCAGTACTGTTACTTGTTACAAATTTGTTATGCCTCATCTGTAGTATTTTGATTTCATCCAGTCTTTTTCATCTTACTTTCAAGCTTTTGATATTTATTTTATATAGCATGAGAACATTTAATAAACAATTTATAAACATATACAAAAAAGTTCCCATGTTTACATCATCCTACTAGATAGAATAATATTCTAGAAGTGTAGCCATTAAATTTAACTGTCTGTATAAACAGTTTTTATAAAAGACTGAAACAAGGCCCAGATTAGAGTGTGCCTACTTCCATGTCCTCCTTCCTTGCAAGATGTAGCAGTTGATTTTTGATGCACACTAACCACATCTTTCTTGCCCCCCACAGGTTGAAGGTGGGAATTGTGCTCCCCCTTACTGGCTGATCATCTGGAAGACAACCTTTCTGTTCCTCCAAAGGGACTTAATAAGGTCCATCTGCAGATTGTTAGTTCAAATCTTCTGTTACAGGCAAAACATCCAAAATGCCTGAAGGGCTGGTATGGTCAAGGAAGGCTGTGGTGGCACCAAATGAGTGACAGCATTGATGCACTAAGGATAGACAATTCTTAAACAGGCTAGGACCTAGGTGAAGGACTCTGAAGTAACCTGATGACTGAGGGGACATCTGATAACAATCTCAAGTTATTTAAGGGTGCTTAAACGGAGGATAGAGACAAACTATTCTCTGTAGCTACAGGGTAGATATAGTAAAAAAAATTACTTGGTTAACTGATCAAATATTTGTCAAATAATGGTCAAATATTTTAAGCATTAATTTATGAGAACAGTGGAAAGACTAAATCTTCTGTAGGTTAAGATAATTATGCTAATTATAGAAAACAAGTTATTTAACTGTTACTGTGACACAGTTAACTAACAATAGTAAATTCTAAAAAACTGTAATGATTTTTATGACTATCAATGTTTGGCAAATGTAAATATGTATGATATTCAAGACCCTAAGGATAGTCAAGGTGCACAGGAGCCAGTGACACAGGACCAGCAAAGAAGCCAGCAAACAAGGGATTTTGAGTGGTGAGTTTTTTGGCGAGTTTTCTCAATCACTTCTTGCTTACTGCCTTCACTGTAAGCATGCTAAGTGGAAGGAGGTGAAGGAGAAAGGGAATTTTTTAAGGAAACAATTCTATTTATTTATTTATTCAGGACTGGAGTTATGGGTTACAGATGTGCTTCAAGCACAAGGCCAAAGAGGTTCTAGTTGGAAGTCCAGAACAAATTTTGGTTCTGCATAACAATTGTGGCAAGCTAACTGGTGTCTGAACATCTGACTGTCCTAACAGAATGTAACTGAAACTGTTAAGTTTATTCTGAAACTTTAAGGAAGATGGCAAAAGGTATACTCATTTACCATGCCAGTCATGCCCAGATCTAGAAGGCACTGGATGCGGTAACTGTTTCTGACATGACTATTGATATGTGGCTAAAGGCTCTTGGAACAGGTTAAGGGATATGGACGCTGGAGAATCATTTACTAGCCTGAATTATTTTAAAGAAAATCTTTAGGTAGAATGAAGGAGGGTCTAATCTGCGAACACAACAGTAAATTCTGTTAAGGAAGCTTGTAGGAACAGGAAAAAAATTCTTATGTTTGGTCTCATACCTCCCCAACAGATAAAGCTTTTCAAAATAGTTCCACACATCTCAACAGCAGCAATGTCAAACCCATCAGTAGGAATATGGAGATGGTTTTGAGAAGTACGTTATAAAAACTCAAAAGTAGTAACTTGCTTTCACAAGAGAGATGGCTACACTGCTAAACAAAGATGGATTCTCAGTTCACCCAAAACAAACTGCTAATCTGAATTTTTCATAATCTGCCAAAATGTCATTACTATAAAAGGAGCCATCAGGTGCATTTTAAACAGGAATTACTGCTCTGAAGAATACAGATGAAACAGTAATTATTATTCTCTTTCAAATTTACTGAAGGTTTGATAACAATATATTTATATATTTCCCATTTCAAAATATTTTAGTTTTATTTACACACAAAAGTTTTCCATTTATACCATACACTTAAATACTATGTATGTACTAGAATACAGTTTTATTTTTTATTATGCCACCTTAAGCATAGCAATCCCATGCCAAAGACAAATAGCCCCTCACCTGCCAAGCACAATCTTTCTTCTCTTCAGTAGGCATTGGGATCACAAGAAGGTTCTGAAGAATAAAAGCAGCCTAAAAGAAAAGAAAAAAGTGTCAATACTGCCATCTTGCTGAAGCTGCTGGACAAAACAAAGCACCAGATTCAACAGCACTGTAACAGCATCATAGGTCAAACTGGCATATTAATCAGCAACTCACTGTGCTAGCTTAAACATTCCTGAAGCCATTTGAAATGTCAAGATTCACTGTAGCACAAAAAGGATGCAATCAATTTAAAAATCCTAAAACATCACCTAAGAGCACTAATACAATATAGTATCAGAGGGAAAAACTCTCTTTTCAGTTTATTTTATGGAACTGATGGTATTGTATACAGCAGTTCACTGTTTTCCTAATATAATTAATTTATCTGGATTTCACATAATAGCTATGGAGAGAAAAATATTTTGAAAGAGCAAAACAAATGTTATTATAAAAATATCAAAGACAGAAGAAATACAGGCCAGGTGCAATATCAAAAACTATTTAAGTATTAATTTTACAATTACTACATTCAAGCTGACTGAGTTTTTTTATAACACAGAAATGCAGGTCTTTCAACAATTGTCCCCAGTATCTCACATGCACACCTACGGAAACTGCTTTGTTTAAACTGTAAAACACTTGATGCTGGGACAATGTCTATTTGCATACAGGACTAAGTTCATCGTTACCTCCTAAGTAAGAGTCCAATCACCACTTAGAAGACTTCCTTCTTTAAATATCCCAAGCTGTTTTTGTTACATTTTGGACTTAATAAAATGTGAAAAAAGAATTCTGATAAATAATTTTTAAAATAAACTACAAAAGATGATCCCAACTGTTCTACAACGATCTGGACACCAAAAGATTTACATTTTTGGAGCATTTTTGTGCAGAAGTGTTCTACGTTGTTTTACTTTAAAATAGGTAGTTTGTTGAGAAAACATGTCTCAAAAGTATTTTAATATCTTAAAACTGAATTATACAAGCTTGAGTCCTTACATTTTGGTTGTACAGTGGGCATGGAAGGAAACTGAAAAGTCACATTATTGCTATGCTAAATTCTTCCATCACAATTAAGAAAAATCTAAATATTTAGCTGAACACTTCTAGCTCTACCTTTTAATAGATGATACCTCATACAGTTAGATGCTGTATTATAATTGTAGGGGAGTAAAAGAAGAAAACTGCTATTTCAGTTCAAAATGAGAAGCAGGTTATATTAAATTCATAAATTTCTCTTAGATTTACCATTTGGATAAATATGTACTTAGCTCTGAGTTAAGACATGAGAACAAAGCTCATAGCTTTATTTCATCAGCCCACTGCTCAGTCTCTAAATAGTTCAGAAGGCTTCTTCAAGTCAAGGAAAAATATCCTTTATACTATACGCATAAAAGATAAGCGACTTCTGCTTAAGTTATGAAGCTCATTACTTATTGTGCATTTCTCATGCACTGGCAAAATCTACTTCCAGTGCTTCTCCATGAAGTGCGAGCACTATATCCATCAGGCACTGTTAACACTGTAAACAATGCTAGTCTATTCAAGAAGTTGCAACAGAGACCATGAACATGCATTGCTTTCAAAGCTATATTCAATTTACTGTATTTGAGCATTTTGGTAGTTTGAGCTGTGTAGAGAAAACATACTAGGAAATACACTCAGGGATTTTTTTTTTTTTTTTGGTTTTTGTTTTTTTGGTTTTTTTTTTACTTAAACCACTCAAGATATACATGAGGCCCTGGCACACATTTCAATTATGACATGATTGAGATGCAAATCTATAATATGCTATATATACACACCCCAATTTATAGCATCATAGCAGGGAAAGCCAGGCACAAAAAAATGTTCCACATACATTGTAGAAGACTTTTGTGTCTGGTTGGTATGGACCCTTAAATTGAACAGGTAGCATGTGTGCCTGACCCAGAACTACCCCATGCCAATCTCACTCTCAGTTGATAATTTGGATCAGCTTGGGGCAGCACCACGTCTAAAAACTGAACATGCAGCTGGGCTTCACAGGGTTGTTTTATAGCCAGAAGTAAAGGGAAAGTGGAGTCAGGAAGCCTCTCCCCAGCCCTGGCTCCAAGGACCCTGGCTTTTGAATCAGTATGGAGCCAGGCTGTCTGGTGGTTTTTAGGCCTGGGGATGCCCTGGGGCCTGGGACAAAGCCACCCCTTGGGCAATTGTGGCTTCAGGACTCCTGCTACTGGGATCTGAGGAATTTATATGCCCCATCCCAAATATTGCACGCATTGCTATATTTCCTCAAATCTAAATCACACCATTAGTTTCATGTCTGACGGAGGCCATGGAAGAACAAAAGCGATTTAATAAATAGTTCTACAGTTTAAGTGAATGACTACTGAGTGAAATGGAAAAGAAATAGTTAAGGGGTGATCTGATGGCCACCTACAAGTTTATTAGGGGTGACCACCAGTATCTGGGGGGACGTTTGTTCACCAGAGCGCCCCAAGGGATGACGAGGTTGAAGGGTCATAAACTACTACAAGACCGTTTCAAGCTGGACATAAGGAAGAATTTCTTTACTGTCTGAGCCCCCAAGGTCTTAGAATAGCCTGCCATGAGAGGTGGTTCAAGCACCTACACTGAACACCTTCAAGAGAAAATTGGATGCTTATCTTGCTGGGAGCCTATGACCCCAGCTGACTTCCTGCCCTTTGGGCGGGGGGCTGGACTCAATCTTCCAAGGTCCCTTCCAGCCCTAATTTTTATGAAATCAATGAAAGATATTCTATTACACTATGCTTTGTTCACAGAACTACCCAATCATCTGTGAAGAATACTGAGACAGGCTTTCATATGTCACTTCTGTAATCCATAAATTTGTTAAAATAAATTTTTCTAATATCTACAAAAAGAAAATCAACTACTACATTTTAAGTTAAGCTAAATGATGAGAATAAAATGAACATACCAATAATTTCTTTCAACACCAAAGAAAGAAGACACAAGCATTTTGACATCTCCACATTGCATATATCATTGTTTTTCATAATGTTATAAATATATACAGCAAGAATGGTTAGGGATTATTTTTATAATGCTTCAAGCAGTAAGAGCAAAAGATATCTTTCTAAGCACCTTACTGTTTTTGCGGCTCAAATGAAACTAGCACATCAATGAAACAGATTACTTCTGCTTTTACATTAGTAATCATGTCTCTTCAGTGCTTTTCAACTGAATGCTAAATGAAGAGGGTGAAAAAAAAACATTTTCATTAGGTAGCATTTAACTTGTGAAGGAGCAGGAATGTTGTGCCATCATAAATAAATCTTCTCACAAACAGCTTAATTTTCATATAGTTGTTTTCATTCTTTATGACCTTAAAGGTTTTACAGATGTATATTCATGAACAACAGAACAGAAAAAAAGCATACCTCCCGGCGTACCAGGCTACATTCAGATTGATCCAGAAATATGTTTATTACTGTTCCCCATAATCCTCCAGAAATGTTCTGACAGCTGTCTGCTAAAGCAATGCATCCTGCTTTAAGAGTTGTAAGAGCTGATCCAATTCCAAGTGATGTGAATCTTACCTGGAAGAAATTCACAAGATAAGGTAAAAAAAAAATTATAGTAAAAAGCAATATTTTACAATTATTTCTCAAACTTCTACTATAAAGCATACAGTCCTAATCCCTAAACTATCTTGAAAAGTTACTGACTGACTTGTATTCCAAAGCTTTTATACCCCTTTTATACCCCTTCAAAAGCTTTAAGTATTGAGACTACAAAATTCTATTCACCTAAGTAACAAATGCAGACATGCCTAGAAAGCTGAGTAAGTATCCAGAAGTCTTTAGGATGATCTGACAATACCTCAATTTTTGCAATATTACATATAAAAATAGCTCCTCATACATTTATGCTAACAAATATAGACAAAATATTAAGGCCTTAACATTTAATATTATTTGACAAGTAATGGCATGTGGATGCCTTACTTAAGTCTACAAACGCATGCAACATTTTTGTATACATGTTATCATACCTCAACCTTTTTATAAAACCTAAACTGTGCTCAGCAGTGTAACTAGAGGGTGGAGAGAGGAAGGAAGAGTGAGTGGGGGCACCAGCTTAGGCAGGACACAAATATAAGTGTTGCTGCTACTGTGAGTCCAGCACTACAACAGTGCAGTGCCACTGGTGAGGGTATAAAACTGCTGCTGCCCAGCCACACCTCTGACTATACTAGTATTGGTATCTGGCTGACCTGCTCTTCTTTTCAACGAGATTCAAACTTAAAACAAAATTAAGATCCCCATTCATAGTTGTCAAGGAAACACCACAAGATTCTTACTAGCCAGGTTTAAAGCTTCAGTTCTATTTCAAACATTGTTTAAGACACTGCTTAGCATTCAGCACCACTCTGAGAAGTAAGTATAAAAATTAGATTTCATTTTTATTGCATCAACTGATTCATGTTAATGATCATGTTACAGTGATTCTGTAGCCATGACAGTCCAGGTTTTATGCAAGAGGCAAGGATTTTTGGGGGGTGATGTCTTTTATTAAACCAGTTTACATGTTTGGAGTGAAGATAGACAAGCTTCTGAATGCAAGACATTCTCTATCAGGTCTGAGGAGGGAAGCAAGCAAGCACAGCCTTCATGTTAAAAGGCATTTTATTTTTATTTTGCACACACATACACACACTTCTGCTTATAGTTAATAAAAAGAAAGTGCAGAAATCTTACATACTAAGGTACCATGAACCATTACCCCAAGTAACTAAAAACAGGAAGTGACGGACTACAGGAGTGTGGTGATAACATTCATTTGAAGGTACATTTTGAATTTTTCTGTTAAAGTAACACATAGATACACTGACCACATTTAAAATTGTGCCAATTTTTAAGCCTCATCATTAAAAAATAATTTAAAAAATGTGATACATGCATTTCTTAAACTTGGAACAACTATTTTACTGCCACAGTACACTAACCTCAGGGTCTCTGTCTACCCATAACGGAACCAGCCATGCCAGACCTAGTCGAGAAGGATCTTCTTCTTCACTGTTTTCATAAGGCAAGAACCAGAGAGAGACCAAATCCTGGTCAGAAAGTAAAAAGCAAAGCAATATGTTTTAGGAACCTTTTGAGCATGACCACCTTTTGTTTTTCTAAAACTTATTGCAACTTAGAGTGCCCATGTTGTAGGGCACAGATTCTGACTTAAACCCTGAAAAATTGCCTACACTTACTTAAATCTATTAATTGAGTAAAATTAAGTACATGTAAATCTTTACAGGATTAGGTTCTGAATGATAAACAGATCACCCGCAAGTTGCAGAAACTTCAGATGAAAATACTGCAAATCATTTTAACTCAGAAGAGGATAACTAAGTTCAGCAGAACAGTGGGAGACAAAACTCAACACTAATTCCAATATACTAAAAGCCTTAGTGTGTCTGTCTGTGTGTCCATCCGTAACACTTTATTTGCACTCTGATTGGTTGTCTTGGCAGCCAATCACAACACTGACTGAAACAACCAGAGTGCTCTGCACAGACAAACACACACGGTGGAGCACCACCGTGATGGTGGGGACAGAGGGGCTAGAGCTGGGGGGGTGAAGCCAGCAGCGCTGGCCCCAACCCCCTGGCCCTGCTCCTTGGAGACAGATGGCAGGACTGGAACAGAGGCAGGGAAAAGCCAGCAGTGCTGGCCTTGCGTTCCCCCTGGCCCTGGTCCTTGGAGGCAGCAGTGGTGCGGGGTGCTGGTGGCGCAGTGCTGGCCTCACCCCCCTGCCTCCGCTCTGGCCACACACCCCTCCCATGGACAGACATGAGCAGGGGATGGGGGGGGGATGTGGGAGGTGGCCACAGGGCCAGAGACAGAGTGGCGGCACCACAGGGGGCTGGGTGGCAGCGCCCTGTCCCTGTCTGCCACCCTCTGGTCATTCATGATGGTCAATTTGCTAGTCATATATAAAACAAGAGACCCTGTTACTTAATACTATACTGATCTTTCTCCTTTCTTAATACCCACAAAGCTGATACTGATTCATTTGAGGTCACATAGTGTCATATGCTATTTAGTTCCAGATTTTGTACAGAGATTGTGAATCTCCTTGCATGTTCATTTCTTTGTATCACATTAAAAGAATATATACTTACCTGCAAAGTATTATGCACATCTAGGTGCTGTATAAGCAGACTTTCTAGATTGATACCATATCATTATTGTCAGGGTAAACAATGATCACCAGAGTTTTGTGTTTTACTATCATCTTGGCTTTTCAGATTTTTAATACTGTAGATAATCCAGATTTAAATTCCATTTTAAATTAAATATACTGTACTCTAATTTCAACACAGGGGAAGAGGCAAAAGACAATGCTTAACCCTCACTGATACTATTTGCAGCACTTTCATTATAACTGTAACTGATACTATATTGCTTAGAAATCCATGATGCCCTAATTACGAGAAAATAAATATCACTTTAGACGTGTTATATCCAGCACTGAAAAATAAGGGAAAAAAATCGGCCATGATGCAGCTCACAAGAAAAATTAAGTAGTAGTATTGTAAGGCAGTTAAAAAAAAAAAATCAGCAGAAAAAGGAATAATCTACTTGATAATGAATACATCAATTTATTTTAATGGGAACTTTGGAGACTTCAGATAATTCAACTGGCATAAACAATGCACTGAAAATAACTTTTTTTTAAAATGTACCTTTTTTATAAAATAATATTTGCATAGAGGTGAAAAATAATTTATTCCTACCTATATAGAAATTGATATCTAAATCACTGGTGTTGTAAATCAGGATCAGGATCTGAATCTCTTCTATGAACATAGTTGCTTAGGACAATCTAGGGAGCAACACTGCAGTACACAGCGTATATAAAATTTATAGCTACAGAAACATATAGTTGACCATATTACCATACATATTACTTCACATAATTAATACATACCCTTCTACCACCACCAGTGAAGGCCTAATCATTCATCTCTGTGTTTATGGAATGATTCTGCAATGTGCTGAGCTCCTCCTGCAATGTGCCAATTACTCCATATCCCACGAATGCAAAGGAAGCTGTCAGCACTTGGTGCCTTAAGCAGGGGATTAACACCTCAAGGGGACTGGAACCATATCAAATTTGGAAAGTATATTGTGTTATTTTCTTACTGCTTGTTAAGGGTGCCTGTTGTTCAATCATATCTTTTCTGTCCCAGAGGGAAGAGACCCATCTTCATTCTGTTGATTAGCTAAACAAGAGACACCCAAAGTAGGCCTTGATTATGAGCAAAGATCAGCACGTGGCAGCCAGGCAGTGTGGTGGAAAGCAGCTCCTGCTGCTCCCTCCAGTTAAGTCTATGGGAGTGGGGTCACAGGCAATGTGTGGAGTGGGGGGCACAGGCAACATGGCAGCAAGTCACAGGAGTGGGTGTGGGGGAGCAAAGACAACACATTGGGAGGGTGGGGGGCACAGTCAAGGGTGGGAGGGAGCATGTGGCCCCCTCAGATTACTGCGCCAACAGCAAGATGCAGAGCTGCAGCCTGGCCAGACCAGTTCCAGGCAGAAGCTGCCTCCGCAACCCAGCAGGCAGGAAGCGTGGGAGAGAGCACTGCACCACACCACACCACCATGGCTGTCAAGGCAAGGTGCCCCCAGCCTGCCCAGCAGCAGCAGGAGCACAATTTTGGGCCACCACTGCTATGTCTCACCTTGGTGGCCATGGCAGCGCAGTGCTGGCTCCTGCCCAGAGCTGGTCTGGCCACAGTGCAGCCCCGTAACCGGCTGTGGGGACAGAAATTGGGGGGGCACATACCCCCCCACCCCCCTCACACAATCGCCTTTGCTCCTTCCCCATATACCCACCCCATTCCTCACAGCCCCACCCACTTCCTCACACTATGGAATTTGAGGGCAGGAGCAAGTGGAACCAGCAGGGCCAGGGGGCTGCTATAAATTGGGAGCTAGGGGCAGCAGCAGGCCAGGGAGTTATGGGAGTGAGAGGCACTGGCAGGGCCAGGGGGCTGTGGGTTGGGAGTGAGGGGCAATGGCATAGGCAGGACACTGGTATATCAGGGCTGCTCAGCACCACAAAGCAGCAGAGGGGAAGGGGGAGGGGACAGCTGCAGCTGGACCTGCATCCTGGTGAGCGAAAGGAGCAGAGGAATCTCTGATTTTGAATGATAAAAAAATAGAGGTGCACTGATACATCAGTCCCATATTGTACTGGCACTGATAAAAGGAAAACTAACATTATCAGCAACTGGCTTCTTTTGGCTAATAATGTCACCGATAAATGCTGCATGCATGCCCACAGCTGTAGTGCAGCATGCAGGTGGTCAGGAGTGCAGCCTGGCAGTGTGAAGGGCACTGTCCGGCTGGTAAGTCTGTTCGGGGAAAGAATAGGTGTATGGTGGGGGGAACCAAGGCCCCCGCGT